TAATAAATACATTGTACAGATGAGGAACCGAAGCTCAGAGAGAATGTGACATGTCCAATATCATACAGCTAGTAAATAAGTAGTATGGGTCTTATAAAGCCTTATCTAGAGCACTTTTCTACTCTACCATGCTGCATCAATGCCAGTTCCCTTCCCATGTTCTCATTTTCTGTAAATGGCATTACCAGCTGCTCAAGCCAAAAGCTTAAGTCATTATTGACTCCCTTTTCTCCCTATTTCCACATCCAATCAATCAACAAATCTTATCAACTTTAATTTTCAAATTTAACATCTCTCTAATCTCTTTGCTTCTCTCCAAGACCTCTACCACAACCCTAGATCCAAGCCACCTTCATCCCTCACCTCAACTACAGTAACAACTTGCTACTTGGTCTCCACACGTTCATTTTGGCCAATTCCGTCCTCCAGTATCTTCTCCACTTAACAGCCAGAATGATGTTATGTTTGTTTATTGTGGGTAAAAAAATATATATATACATATATATATATATACACACACACACCTGTGAAAGCCAGAACTTGTATAAGGTGGAAACGTGTCAGAGAAGGAAAACGCAAATATTTTCCACTAATAGAGAGCAATAGAAAAGTGACAAGACTGCACCCTGTCGAAGGTGGAAAACTTGTAAGACTGGAAAACAAGGCAGTCCTGTCAAGTTCCAGCTCTCACAGGTTTCACTGCATATACAAAATAAAACATTTGCCAATTCAACAATTTTTACATGTACAATTCAGTGACATTATGTTCATCATGTTGTGCAACCACAGAGTGATGTTTTTATCTATCCAAATATGCCATTCATCTAGCTAATTAAAGTCCCACTGCTCTTAGGGTAAAGATGAAAATTCACCTGTGACTTAGAAAGCTGTCCACTCTCCAGCCTCTCCCTACCTCTCTAGCTCCATTCTTACTTACTCTGGTCTCCCTCCCCTTGCTCTGACCCCATATACTGACTGACCTCTTTTAAAATCCTCATACTAACATGCCTTTGTACCTTTGAACATGCAGTTCCCTTTGCCTAAAACCCTTCTTCTCCCCACTGTAAACACCTCCCACTACATCTTGAATTACTCCCACCCACTCTTCAAGTTTCAGTTGAAATGTCACTTCCTACAGGAGAACTTCCCTGATTCCTCCAGACCAGGGGAGAGCTCCTTGTTAGTACTCGCATTCCACCTTGTAGTACATCTCCTTTTGTAAGTAGCATTCATCTAACTTTTAATTAATCAGTTGTTCAATGATTATCTTCCCTACTAGAATATAAGCTCCCTGAGGGGAGGGAAAGTGTCTTTTCACTGATGCATCCACAGTGCTTAGCACATAGTAACCAGTTGCTGTAGAGTCCATTCTGACTCACGGCAACTCCATGTGTCAGAAAAGAAATATGCTTCATAGGGTTTTCAAAGGCTGATTTTTCAGAAGTAGATCATCATGCCTTTCTTCTGCGGTGCCTTTGGGTATATTCAAACCGCCAACCTTTCAGTTAGCAAGCAAGCACATTAACTGTTTGCACCACCCAGAGACTCCTAGCACACAGTAGTTGCTCAGTTAATATTTGTTGTGAGAGTGATAGGTTGGAGCCAGAATATAGATGGCTATAACATCAGGCATATATGTAAACTGAGGCAGAAAGAAATGCATGGTTATTCAAGGTCACAGAGACGGCAGTGACAGCGCCAAATCTGGCCCTCTATTCAGCTCCTAAAACATAAAAACCCTGAGTGGGCAAGAGAACATTTCAGAAGAAGAAAATAGAAGTAAGAAGGTGTTGAGAAAGAGGTCTAGGAGGACAGCATCTGAATCCGCCTGTCACACCAGTTGCCTCCAGATGAATAGCCATTAGACTTCCCATGCCTAGAGAAGCACTGCTGTTAAACAAATATAACCACTACCAAGCCCTTCTCTTTAAGAGATGGGGGTATAAGATGGCAAATTTTTTCCTTCACAAAGAAGGAGAAACGCCAGGTGGGAAAATTGTCCCTCCAAGTATCTTCAAAAAACAAACGGGCAGTTTGGACACCTGGATTGCTCCTCAGCAATCAACATGGAATTGCGGGGGGGGGGGGGAGGTATGTGGGTGCAGGATGAAAAAAGCCTTCCCACCACACACTGAAGCATGGATAAGAAAAAAAAGTGTATTAAATGAGGCAGAAGCCATTTGAAGACAGCTTATTGTTTGGGAATTATGAGAACAATTCATGAAAAGGATTTAAAAAGCTTGACAACCCATTGGCAGTTCTTAATTCAGGTGCCAGTGAGAGAAAAAGTGGCATGAGCTCAATTGCAACATTTTATTGTTCACTTGCTGCTGGAGCCAAATTATGTTCCTCACAGAAACCACAAACCCGGCCAAGGGGTCAGGCCTATTGCCACTAATCCTGCCAAGCACCGACTGCAAGAAAAAGAAAAGGCAAAGCCTCTTCAGAGCAGACTGTGTAGAATAAATATTCTCATAGTCTACACCCACCCTGAGTTCCTGGGTGAGGTGGGGAAGAGGTGAGTAGCGTGTTCAGAAATTGAAAAGAAACTCAGAGAAGGGCACGTGATACACTGATGAGAAGGGGGAGATGAAATAGAGAGGAAAAATGAGAATTGCAAATGGAGTGACAGGAAAAGAAACAAAACTTCAAGAGGCATAGAGGTGTGGGGAAAGAAAGGAGAAGGGAAGGGAAGGGCACTCAAACAGCAGGGAGTGAGCAGAAGAGAGAAGTAGGGAGAGGCAAAGGCAGAGACAGTTCTTTATCAAATCCAAAAGCTGCTCACTCCATCCCAATAAATTGTCCTACTACAAAGCCCATACAATGGACTGTCCTTTGCATTCTGTCAAACCAAAAAACAAACCCATTGCTGTCCAGTCGAATTCCAACTCATAGCGACACTATAGGACAGAGAAGAATTGCCCCCATAGAGTTTCCAAGGCTATAAATCTTTCCAGAAGCAGACTGCCACATCTTTCTCCCACTTGCATTCTGTAGCAAGGAGCATTTAACGAAGTATCGCTCAGCTGCAACGCTGGAATCCTAAGGGTCTGAGTTAAAAATGAACAAAATTGCTTCAGCAGAAGAAGACAGTCCACAATGACTTTCTCCTAATGCCTGACAAGGCTCTGAAAAGGCTTAGCATTTTAGAGTTAAGCATAAAATTCTCTGGCATTTCTTCTTCTTTTGACATTCCAGGAGGGGGTGTGATTGACCCCAGGTCCATTCATTTCCAAGGCTGTAGATCTCTCAGCTAAGACTGGCCCCATCTGTTCTGGAGCCAGCCAGCTGTTTATCTTAAGCTAACATATTTATTGCACTAGTCATCCCTACAACTCTTAAAAGAAGAGAGTCAACATCATACAATTCAGAATGCTTTCTGTCCTGTTAAATGTGTCAGTTTGGTTAAAAGACAAACAAAAAAACGAAACAACAAAAACTCACTACTATGCCCTTTGGTTTCCCTGACCACGGTCACTCCTCCATAAGTACCTTTCAGTACTGACAAACGAAGGTTAACGGTGCTTCTAACTTTCTTTATCTCTAACCTGTTAAAATGAACCTGGGCTTGCCTAACTGAGATCCTTTCTCTATACCGTTACTTGTGACTGGGACTGTGCCTCAGAAAACGGCAGCTCATTACTGTACCATTGTCAGTGGCAAGGCGCCTATTGCAATGTAATTTAAAACACTCACACAAGCACCAATCTGTGGGCTTCACTTCCAAACAATCCTGAAATCCTGCAGTCAGGAGAAGAGAAAACACTTAACAAAAATGCTGCCTCTAGCAGCCTAAAAGAACCTTCATCAGACATGTGAAATGTTTCTGACTGGCGCGGAGTGCACCATTAAAGGACACTGTCACCTCAAATCAGTAGAAAAAGCTAGACAAACGACATAGACCCACAGTCATTAAAAAAAAAAAAAAGCCCCACAAAACTTAGCACACTCAGAAGAAGCACACTCATCTTAAAAACACTGCGTGCTCGCCCAGGCGACATAGAAATGTTCTAAAGTAGTGCGACCACACTAAATCACTGTCTCCATTTCTCCCCACGCATCTCCCCTTCCCACTCAAACCTCAGCACTCTGACCGTATGTGACAGGACTGCAGCCCCCTAGCTCAGCCTTCCTCTGATTTTCCAAGAGCACTTCCCAACATCCTGCTCAGCCCAGCCCCCCTCTCCGAGCCTCAAAAAGGTTGAGGGGAGTTGCGACTAGGGGAATTGGCAGGCACTCGTCCTCCGGCGGGGGAAGGTTGCTGGAGTGGTTCTTTGCAGTGACCCAAATTGCACAGAGCTTTTCCCTCAGCAGCGCCAACGAGCAAAACCACCTCCAATCCCTCCCGCTCCCACCTTACCAAAAGAAAGCCTTGAGAACTAAACGGGAGGAATAACTTGGTAGAACCATTTGAATAAATCACTTCAACTCACCTGGTTTGGGATTTTTCTCCCCACCCCAGGCATAAACAGAAGTGATGTGCGAATGAGTCACACACGCAAGGGAAG